CGTTCTTTGTGGCAGGACTTGCACCGGCTGCCCTGTGCATCCAGCCTGGCTCCTCTGGTTCTCCCCTCCCACCCTGACCCCCCCATCGCATTTGCGTGATGAGTTTACACAGTTTATGTGAGTTTATGTGGTTTATGGATTACTGTTGTTTAATATTGAGGGGTTTGCTTCAGATTGGTGTTTCACGGACTCAGAACTGCCTTCTGTGTTTTCTTTGTAGAAAACAAGAAGGTGCAGAAATTCCTTTTTTTTTTATTTTTCCTTGAATCAATGATGTTTTTTAAAAAGAAGAAACGATGAAGAACTACTGAGAAATGTGCTAGCCAGCCCAGAATGGGGGTGGGGGGTGTGTGTGTCGGGAAGTGAGCGTTGTTTTGCAACCTGGTTGCTAGATCCCCGTGCTATAACGCGGCGCTGGGAGTTCCTTCCTGTATAATTACTTCTGTTCTGGATGTGCTCCTGACTCATCCATCCCCACCGTCACGTGGGGCAGGCCACTTCCCACCGTGCCTCAGTTTCCCCATCTGTAAACTGGGGACTTTGGTACTTAGGCTTGTGCCACGGTATTCTATGAACCACTTTCTTTGTGGGTGGATATACTGCTGGTTGTGTTAGCTCCTAATGGTCCGGTGCTTGGGGTGAGGGGGGCAAATATATTGATTTATAGGCAGACAGCGTCTCTGCTGCAAGGAATAGAGGGGTTTACTGCTTAAGACAGAGGGGAGGGAAACGTTATTTCCAGTTTAGGTGTCAGAAGGCTGGGCCTGGGAGAAGATAAGGGGTTTTGCTCTAGACTGTGTTTGGCCTTGGTGCACCTCTCCCGGCGAAGGGGGATCCCTTCCGAACGGAGGCAAACGAGTTCCGGGCTGCTCGGTTCACTCGGGCTTTTTCAGCCTTTGGAGAGAGGATGTATTTAAAGTCAAGTGGATCCGTTTCTGCCATGCTAGCGCATCAGGAGTGACTGATTTATTTATCTTTTTCCAAACAAACCCTTGGCACTGGAAAGAACTGCTGCTTCTGCTGAAGCCTGTCTGAGGTGCCGGGGGCTGGTGCCAGGTCTGCTGCTGGCGCTCCATGAGACCAGTCTCCTTTCCTCTCCGGCCACCGCTGAGGCTCCTGTTCCTGGGGAAGGTGCAGTGGGTGCCTTGGGTTTAAGTGTTTAAGCTCGGCTCTTTGTAAAACGCCCTTAGCAGCAGGCTGGGGTGGTTGGAGCTCCCCTGTTCCTGCACACCAGTCCCCTCGAGCACTGAGCTTGCTGCTGTGCCCTTTGCAAAGGATGCTCGGTGCCAGCACCTTGCCTGCGTCTCTCTGAGCATGCGTGCGGACCTGGGAGCCCAGGGACGAGCGATGGGAGCTGTTTTCCCAGTGATTACGTGATTGTATCAGGAGTTCGGCTGGGCAGAGCGAGGCTGAATGAGCAGGGGACCTTTCCAGTAGAAGTGCTGGGATTGGGAAATACTCCCAGAGATGGACTGGGGTCCACTGGTGAGGCTCAAGCCACTCCAGCGCATCGCCAGGCATGCCTGCCAGCTTGGTCCAGATGCTGTCTGGCTGTATTAACCCTGGTCCTTGCCAAGGCTTGCTAGCCCTGGCCCAGATCCGTGCTAATTCAGCTGTTCTTCCAGACTTTGAGAGCACCTGGGCTATGTTTCTCCTCCTCCTTCCCAGAGCGAAGGTAAGCGCGGGTCCATCCTCACCTGCTGATGGAGGCATGTCTTAAATGCCGGGCAGGGCGATGGACTCGACGGTGATGCGGAGCGGTGCGGAGGGCACGCAAGCCGATAGCTAGTGCTCGCTGCAGAGCACGCTGGCATCGGCGGCCAGGTACCTGCCAACGGGCAGCTCGGCGCTGGGAGTTTGCCCGTGCGATGCCAATGCCTCCGAGCAGCCAAGGCCCCTGTGACTCACTGCGCTTTCCTTCTCTCGTAGCCTTTTGCATCGAAGATGGCGGGTGGCGTGGACGGCCCCATAGGAATCCCGTTCCCCGATCACAGCAGCGACATCCTCAGCAGTCTGAATGAGCAGAGAAACAATGGGCTGTTGTGCGATGTGGTCATCTTGGTGGAAGGCCAGGAGTTCCCCACCCACCGCTCCGTCCTGGCGGCATGCAGCCAGTACTTCAAGAAGCTCTTCACCTCAGGGTTAGTGGTGGACCAGCAAAACGTGTATGAGATAGACTTTGTGAGTGCGGACGCCTTGTCGGCTCTGCTGGAGTTCGCTTACACCGCGACCCTTACTGTCAGCACTTCAAATGTCAATGACATCCTCAATGCCGCCACACTGCTGGAGATCCCGGCGGTAAGGGATGTTTGCACGGATCTCCTGGACAGGAAGATTCTGGCCAAAAATGACCAGATGGATACAGTAGATCAAATTGATCAAAGGAACCATCTCAGAGCAAAAGAGTACCTGGAGTTCTTCCAGAGCAACCCCGTCAATGGCCACCAAGGCAGCTTTCCGTGGACCAACCCAGAGTTGAGAGACCTTCAGAGACTGAACTTCCGAGGCCAAGAGGAGGAGGAAGAGCCGGACTGCAATGGCATAGACTTCTACTCGCAAGCCCCCCTAAACGAAAGACCAAAGGCGAATGACTGTGATCCTGACAGCAACCCAGCCATGTGGCTGGACAGAGAGGAGGAGGCCACAGCTCCTGGCTCCTTGTTTTCACCTTCTCAGAACGGACATTACAGCGGCCGTGGCCTGGCCACACCGGGAGAAGAGGAGGGGACCCCAGGGGGGCCTCTGGACCAGCAGGAAGCCGGCGACTCCCCCAGCTTCGTTCCTCCTGGAGCGGAGACGGAGGATGATGCGAGGGAGGTGGATGACTTGGCTGCTAGCGCCCTGCTGCAGCAAATGATGAATACCGTGGGGAGACAGCAGCTCGGGGAGGATGACCGAAAGGATGACGATGGGGTCATGGATTATTACTTGAAATATTTCGGCAGTTCGAGTGAGGGTGACGTCTACCCATCCTGGTCCCAGAAGGTGGAGAAGAAGATCAGGGCAAAAGCATTCCAAAAGTGCCCCATCTGTGAGAAGGTGATCCAGGGGGCTGGCAAGCTGCCGCGCCACATCCGCACCCACACCGGGGAGAAGCCCTACGAGTGCAACATCTGCAACGTCCGATTCACCAGGTAAGGAGCGGGCGGACGCTGGAGGAGAGGGGACTGTCGCACAAAACAGGCTCTTGCCTTTCCCCGGGAGCCATCGCAGGGCTCGTCTCATGCAGTTTTATCTTGCCTGCTCAACTAATTTCCATCTCAACAGGCGAGTTGGATATGAAGGCTAGAGTTTTCCAGAGAGACGAGCAATTTGGGTGCCTGACTCTTGAGGTATCTCAAGGGGCCTGTCTTGATAGCCAGTGTCACGCCATCCTGGTGTCCTGAATTGCTGAGCTCTGCTGGAAACCTGGCCAGACCCAGGCTTCTGCAGAGGCCAAATAATGTGGTTGATGAAACAGAGCTGCAGCCCTTGGTATTTCCATTGTGGCCGAGGAGCCCGGGGTTGAGGCAGGAGTTGGAGAGTCATTTAGAAATGGCTCCATGGGGTGACTGAAGCGCCAGTGGCTGGTAGTTGGGTTGGGAAGAGACTGAACCCCGCATCTCTCGCGTCCTCTCTCGGTGAACCATGATGGGCTGAGCGATGGCTGCCCTGAACAACACGCAAACCCCAGTGCCTTGGTTCGGCTCCCTGGGGGCGTTTGCCTCGGCGCTGTTTCTAATCAGGGTTCCTCTGCTCCTTCCCTCCGCCACGGGAACGCTGAAGAAAGGGGATATTGTTTGGATTCCTCCGGTTCACTCGAGTCCACGCGTTGCAGCGCCGCCTCCTCTCTCTGGTCTCTGCGGCTGTGATGGCCGAGCCGGAGCGGGGGTCCCACCCCGGTGCCCCCGGCCCTGCCGAGGGACTGTGTGGGCTGTCTGGCAGAGGACCCAGGCTGCCTGCCCTGCCTGCTCTCTGCCTGCTGAAATATTCCTGGCTTCACAAGTGCCAACTGCTTTGCTTCCCAGGAGCCTCTTCCTTGGGGGGGGGTGGTCCGTGGGGCTGCTCCCCGCCGTGGGCAGCCCGTGGCCCTGGCAGGGGGGGC